CTCAAACTGTTACCACTGATGTATCACCTGGAGTACATTAAATCTGTTTTCTTCTTTGTCCAGTTTAAACACCTAGACATGGCAAGGTATGAGGACACCAACAAACTAAATAAAAAAGTGGAGTTACCAGTAACTTTGGTCACTTTGACTACTCTGGCTTGGAGCTACTTATTGTGACTTATGGGTATAGATCTACATGATGCTTACAGGAACTACAGTTGTGCCGCAGTCTGAGTGGTATCTCTATGAATCTGTAACTGTTAAATGATATGTGGCATGACTAATAGGTATAATAACCTGGCAAATTGGTAACTGAACAGTAACTTATAGATCTAGTCTCAGTAACTTGGTAACTCAGTAACTGGGTAACTCAGTAACTTGGTAACTCAGTAACTTGGTGACTTGGTAACTCAGTAACTGGGTAACTCAGTAACTTAGTAACTTGGTAACTCGGTAACTTGGTAACTCAGTAACTCAGTAACTTGGTAACTTAGTAACTTAGTAACTCAGTAACTCAGTAACTCGGTAACTTGGTAACTCAGTAACTCAGTAACTTGGAAACTTAGTAACTCAGTAACTTGGTAACTCAGTAACTTGGTAACTTAGTAACTGAGTAACTGAGTAACTTGGTAACTTAGTAACTTGGTAACTTAGTAACTTGGTAACTCAGTAACTCAGTAACTCGGTAACTCAGTAACTTGGTAACTCAGTAACTTGGTAACTTAGTAACTGGGTAACTCAGTAACTTGGTAATGCAGTAACTTGGTAACTCAGTAACTGGGTAACTCAGTAACTTAGTAACTTGGTAACTCGGTAACTTGGTAACTCAGTAACTCAGTAACTTGGTAACTTAGTAACTTAGTAACTCAGTAACTCAGTAACTCGGTAACTTGGTAACTCAGTAACTCAGTAACTTGGAAACTTAGTAACTCAGTAACTTGGTAACTCAGTAACTTGGTAACTTAGTAACTGGGTAACTCAGTAACTTGGTAACTTAGTAACTTGGTAACTCAGTAACTCAGTAACTCGGTAACTCAGTAACTTGGTAACTCAGTAACTTGGTAACTTAGTAACTCAGTAACTTAATTGGTAATGCAGTAACTTGGTAACTTAGTAACTCAGTAACTGGGTAACTTGGTAACTCAGTAACTTGGAAACTTAGTAACTCAGTAACTTGGTAACTTAGTAACTTGGTAACTTAGTAACTGGGTAACTTGGTAACTTAGTAACTCAGTAACTGGGTAACTTGGTAACTCAGTAACTTGGTAACTACAGGTAACTTGGTAACTCAGTAACTCAGTAACTTAGTAACTCTGTAACTCAGGTAACTTGGTAACTCTGCAATAACTTGGTAACTTGGCAACTATAGGTAACTTGGTAACTCAGTAACTCAGTAACTGGGTAACTTGGTAACTCAGTAACTTGGTAACTCAGTAACTCAGGTAACTTGGTAACTCAGTAACTATAGGTAACTTGGTAACTCAGTAACTTAGTAACTCAGTAACTCAGGTAACTTGGTAACTCTGCAGTAACTTGGTAACTTGGTAACTATATAGGTAACTTGGTAACTCAGTAACTCAGTAACTGGGTAACTTGGTAAGTCAGTAACTTGGTAACTTAGTAACTTGGTAACTTAGTAACTTGGTAACTCAGTAACTCAGTAACTTGGTAACTTAGTAACTGGTTAACTTGGTAACTTGGTAACTCAGTAACTCAGTAACTTGGTAACTCAGTCACTCGGTAACTATAGGTAACTTGGTAACTCAGTAACTCAGTAACTTGGTAACTCATGCAGTCACTTGGTAACTATAGGTAACTTGGTAACTCAGTAACTCAGTAACTTGGTAACTCAGTAACTCAGTAACTTGGTAACTTAGTAACTTGGTAACTTAGTAACTTGGTAACTTAGTAACTGGGTAACTTGGTAACTTAGTAACTCAGTAACTGGGTAACTTGGTAACTCAGTAACTTGGTAACTATAGGTAACTTGGTAACTCAGTAACTCAGTAACTTAGTAACTCAGTAACTCAGGTAACTTGGTAACTCTGCAGTAACTTGGTAACTTGGCAACTATAGGTAACTTGGTAACTCAGTAAGTGGGTAACTTGGTAACTCAGTAACTTGGTAACTCAGTAACTCAGGTAACTTGGTAACTCAGTAACTATAGGTAACTTGGTAACTCAGTAACTCAGTAACTTAGTAACTCAGTAACTCAGGTAACTTGGTAACTCTGCAGTAACTTGGTAACTATAGGTAACTTGGTAACTCAGTAACTCAGTAACTGGGTAACTTGGTAACTTGGTAACTCAGTAACTTGGTAACTCAGTAACTTGGTAACTATAGGTAACTTCAAGTTGGTAACTCAGTAACTCTGTCACTAGTATACATGACCATAAACCAAGTGACCCACTGTGACTATGTCTGAAGATATGCATGCATGACCTGTAACTAAGCAAAATATATTTTGTTTCATTTCACTTAATTACATTATATCATTTAATTGTTATTTTAGTATTAGTTTCAGTTTCATTTGAAAACATCAATGACATATATAGATCTAGTTATTGTTTTAGGTTGTAAGTTTAAGTTTTACTTTACTAACAGTAAGTCAGTAATATGGCTTACTGCTGGTACTTTAAGTTTTATTTATCGTGAAACAAAAGCATGCAACACTAATTTCATGCAGCCATCAGTGTAAGTGGTATTTCTTGGATCTATGGGCTTAGATCTATCTACCAAACGTTTGGTTAAGCTAAGCCCCTCCTTATGTAATTAACATGGGGGCTGGTCTATGATGTTGCTTGCTGAATGGGGAGAATTGATAGAAAAAAATTCTGGATAAATTCAATCAGAAGTTCACATTCCAGGGTCATGCAAGGTAGGGACCAATGTATTGAGTGAAGAACTTTCTATAATATTGTACAGGCAAGTCTGATCGATCAAAAATCCCTGTTTGTTTCTATGTCTCCTTTTCCTCTGTGTACATGACTCTTACCCAAAGGGCCTACAGGGGCAGACGTCACTGCCGCCCACCCCCATTCATTAGAGCTCTATAGTGGTGTGACTGTCAGAAATTAAAATTAATCTTTTAGTTTTTTATTGTAATAATTTAAAAAGCTATATTGTCTTCATTGAGTAGCACAAGAAGGGCAAAGCCACTCTCCCTTCGGCTTCCTCTTTATTCCCACGCATGGATAGTGGAACCATTTGTATGGGCAGTTTGGCCCAGGATAACAGGGCATTCTGCTTGGGCTTCCATAATAGTCTCGTAGTGAAATAAAACCACACTGCCGGCTATAGCTGCATAGCAGCTCATGAAATTGCTTCCAAGACACTGTCTACCCGTCTCGAGTAATGTTATCAAAGCCTGACGGCTGAGTGGTAGGTGTATTTCTGCTGGACTCAGTGTTCTACTTAAATCGGTGAGTGGAGTATAGTTGGGAACCCTGAAAAGCATAAAATATTTGTGGCTACTGCAAACTTTATTGAGCATTTGATGTACAACTGCACAGATCCAAACAGAAATGTAACAGCTACACCGTAAAAGATGATTTATTGGCGAGGAATTATTTGATCGTGCTCAATAGTACATGCACAAAATTGCCAATACGGAATTTGCCATTAATTTTCTAGAGGAAAATTCACCAAATATTACTCTCACCAATAAATCATCTTGTACGGTAACCTGATTACAAATAGTCATGTTAGTACAACTACAATAACATTAATATTAGGCAAAGCAGCAAATAGATATTTTTGCCTATAACAGTATGTTATAGGCACCTTTTATGTGATAAATATTTATAACTTTGAAGTTAATCTAACAAAAAATCTTACCAATAATATTTCCTTTGGTCCTCAGCAATAAGCCTCCCCCTCTCATTAAGTTGGACATTAGGGCCAAAAACCCAAACAGCTGAATTCGGTTGCCGACCCAGGCAAGTGACAACGGTTTGTCGCCGTCTATCTGGGTCCTGGCAGAAAGCACGCGTTTTGTCGAAGATATATTCAACCCACAGAGACTCCTGTAGTTTGTCATTCAGAATAGGTATTTCTGGATGAAACCTTCGAAGGACTTTACAAAAAGAGGTTAGCGTTTGTGCACTGTCGTGGTCAACAAAGCACTCCCTACAAACAGAAATTGTAACAAATTAAAGAATTGCGCCGCAGAATGACCGTACATTCTTTCTCCGTCGGATGTAGTTACTTGGTATACAAATCCTTGAAGAGGGTTCACCATATTCTTCGGGGTGGTCACGAAGCTGGCTATTGACACAGAAAAATTCGTTTTGCTCTGAAACCGCTTCTTTACCATAATTCCTGTGTTGATAAATGAATTATTAATGAAAAATAATAAAAATGAAAAGCATACCAAGTTGGTTGTCCTGAGATATTAAGCGTCTCGCTGCCATCGTTTAGGAAAGGTTTCACCAAGAATGGAACGACCAAGTGGCAAGTGAACTAAAAGCGGAGCAGGTGGGTAAGCGTGTACTATAGTAAGCTCGTTGCTCAAAGCGCATGCTCAGAGCAGTTATAAAATTAATTAATAATTAAATAGCATAATTAATTAATTATACAGACACACTGACACAGTCATGTCAACTCCAAGAAGGCCGAGAAAGGCAAAAAAGAGGAAGTTGGCTGTTGCTATGGAAGCCTTAACAGCAAGGTATTGTTCGGAAGTGCCATTGGGGTCTCCGTCCTCAGACACTGTGGAGAAGGTGGAGGCGCTACCCAAAAAAAGAAACCCCAGTTCCACGTTATCAGAAGTCGATACCTCAAAGTCCAAAGGTAGAGGTTAATTTTACAATGTACTTTTGTCATGTCTTGGTAATGTTTCTGAGCGGCTTTTTTTACCGGTTTAACCATGATCACTTAGCATGAGGAATTGGGGTGGAGGTGGTGTGTGGTTATGGCAGTGTTTACCCTACAGTCATATCCGAGGGGTCAGAAATAACAAAAAATCATTACACTACACTGACAGCGTGATTTTAAATTCAGTTATAATTAATAGTCTCATGAAATTATGAAAATTGCAATAATCCATGTAAAATTCCAAAAATTAATCCAGCAAGAATCTGTAAAAATTCAGACTATATCCAGAAGTTTACTGAATGGGTGTGGTTGTGTCACACTGATTTGCCCATAGATATTAGAGTACACAGGGATTGGAAACGGGGGCGTAGGCTGGTTGATGTTGCTATTGGTTACCGGCCCAATACCTGGTTGATTTCCCATCTCCTCCATTAGTGAGGCTGTGCTGCAAGGACTTCGAAGGATATTTATGGAGATCCAAGAGGACGCTTACTTATGATATACCTACCGTTCGATATGGAAAGTGTTGGCCTACCTGCAGCAAGGTTTTTACTTCTACAACGTTATTTTGCAACGAGTTATAGGTACATGTACAACAAAATTTTTTCATTTTCCGCCCTTTTTCTGTAGTAACAAACTCATGCTTCATGGATTCTAACCCTAACTAGTATCATTCGATATGCAAATGGAAACTCTTTCATATGATTATAAAGATATTGCATTTTACTCTAGCTTGTTTTCAAAAAAGGGATTATAATGGCAAAAAATACATTTTATGGTTTTAAAAGTGCCATAACATTAACATGGTAAAATTATCTGTACAATAGAAAACAGAATTATAAAGAGGAAACATTAGGCTACTTGATGCATTAATTTCACTTGCATAGGAACACTTGTTCGCGAGATATTGCTCCTAAAAGAAAGAAAATCAAGGGTAAATTGTGACAAAAAATTTCAACGAGCCTCTGTCAGCCTAGCAGCAATACAAACGAATGGAGGTTGGGCTACGCCCACGCTTCCGTTTCCAATCCCTTTCATTTACTCTATTATCTATGGTAGCAGGTACTGCCAGGTAGGTGGTATTGCACAGTACTGACAGTAGGACACTCTCAGTCTCCTCTAATTATTATCTACTCTTGGATAAGTAGTCTCACCACAAAATTTGGATTTTAAAGTTAGCCTCATTAAAGCCAAGAGAGATTCATTTCTTTGATGATGTCTAAAAGCCGAGCTGAAGGGCACAAAACGATGCCGGCCAAAGGCTCAGAGCCTGACTTGCCAAGAAATAAGTGAGTATTTTTGGCCCTGATATACATGTGTTTTATTGCAAAATAAAATAGGCCAACAGTCCTGCAGTGGGCAGTAAAAATAAACAGAGAAATGAAGCCTTTGAATGATATTATACCAAAACCAGTGATGGCAGTGTCACATATTGCGGGGGAAGTTTTTCGGGGCAAACTAGAACTAGAAGATGCACTAATGAGAGTTTTGGAAGCTGGTAATGAGCTGAGGATACTAGTCACTGGGAAGACAGGCCAAGGAAAGTCTACACTGATCAATGGTCTACTGGGAGCTAAATTTGCTAGAGAAGGAGCTGGTGCTGCCAGGTGCACGACAGAAGTTGAAGTGTTTGAGAAGAAGATCAATGGCATACCAGTTGTGGTTTTTGATTCTCCTGGTCTCCAAGATAACACGTCAAAAGAAGAGGAATACATAAAAAGTATGAAAGAAACTTGCAAAAAGCTAAGTTTGGTCCTCTATTGCACAAAAATGACCAACACAAGATTGGGAGATGACGACAAGAAAGCAATGATTAAGTTAACTCAAGCATTTGGTCAGGGTTTCTGGAATCATGCTGTCTTTGTCCTCACTTTTGCTAACATGGAACAGGTTGACAGAAAGGACGATAGAGATATAAATGAGCCATTAGAAGAACCACCCATCCATGACACAGCTGCTTGGGCGTCCTTAGAAAAAAGAAGATTTGAGGGCAGAGTACAAATATGGGAGAAAGAGTTACACCAATTCCTCATAAATAAAGTTAAAGTGGATCCATCAATTGCTAATAGTATCCCAGTCATACCAACTGGAGACCATAAAATAACAAGAAGTAATCCAATCCCCCTCCGTCTTCCAGATCGTGACAACTGGTTCCAAGGGTTATGGGAGACTTGCAGCTTTCGAGTAAGGGAGCAGGGTCTTTTTCTCAAAATTAATAGTCATCGTATGACTGCTGTGGATGAAGATAATTATATCCAAGAATGTGAAGGCCCAAATGAAAATACACCATGGGAAGATGCAGCAGATGAGCATAATGAAAGTGATGAGACTACCCATGCCACTGAATCTAAAGTGGTAGAGGGGCTACAAAATGAATCCATTCGTATCACTACTAATTATGCTACGAATATGTGTGTTGATATAATTGACAAAAGTTTTACTCATGGAATAGCTGAAGCTTTAAAAGCAGCACTTAAATTAATAGCTAAGCCTAGTCAATGGTTTATCAAATTGATTATGAGGTGGAAAAAAGGTGGTGAAAAAAATGACTGACTGAATTGATTTAGTTTATTATTATGTTTTTTTGTTATCAGTGATGAGTATTTATTATTAAGACCAGATGGCTTAGTGTGATAAATATCAGTTATTACATCATCAATAGTAAAAGGATAGATATGGCAATTGACAGAACTAAAACAAGCTACATGACAATGCATTTCAGGAAATGAGTAAATACGTTTCAAGATGTTGTGTGTATAACCATAACTCCTACCTTTTCAGGCTTTATTCATTGATTCCAGGAATCAAATCACAGTTTAGCTACTATAGCTACCAGCTAAATATTTGTCTATATAATGTGAATAAAGTAGCTAATATAAATGTTACTATTAGCTATAGATACTCTATACTAACTTTCCAAGGGATAAATTTAATATTTCAAGACCCACTATTAAAGTTCAGTTGGCTATAATTTTGGCTGTAGATAAGCTCATTGCAGTCCTTAGCATCTGCATGGTGAAATGGCTAAATGCCAAGAGCATGAGGAAGAAGAAAAATTCACAGAGTTTCCAACAGATGGGTAAGTAATAATTGTGTCACTGAAACTAGACTCTAATTGTTTTAACCTGCCAGACCCCTTTTCCAGTTGCACATAAATGCTTAAGCTAATGTGCTAATCATTCCCCATAAAGCTTGCCAAAAATAATTATTTTCAAAAGGCTTAGCAGTGAGCACTGACTTAGTAAATCATGTCATGTATTTTGATTTCTGGCCCGTATATGGCAAGGCAACCTGGTCTGCAGTGTAGTCCCGCGAGACTAGTCTGCAGTGCATAGCATCAGACATGGAGTTTGTTAGCTAGGATAGACCTGCATGCTTTCAGCATAGTAAGAAGTTTTGTTTAATTATATATATATAGGATGAACTTTTTAAAGAAAATTAGACATTACATGCCAAATATTAAGGACCTTCCAAGTAATCTCTGGAATTCTGTTCAAGAAACACAAAAGGATCTCGGTCTAGATGAGGCATCAAGGGACTTGATAAAAATTACAGAAGAAGCAATGAGTTGCTAGAGAAGGAGCTGGTGCTGCCAGGTGCACGACAGAAGTTGAAGTGTTTGAGAAGGAGATCAATGGCATACCAGTTGTGGTTTTTGATTCTCCTGGTCTCCAAGATAACACATCAAAAGAAGAGGAATACATAAGAAGTATGAAAAAAACTTGCAAAAAGCTAAGTTTGGTCCTCTATTGCACAAAAATGACCAACACAAGATTGGGAGATGATGACAAGAAAGCAATGATTAAGTTAACTCAAGCATTTGGTCAGGGTTTCTGGAATCATGCTGTCTTTGTCCTCACTTTTGCTAACATGGAACAGGTTGACAGAAAGGACGATAGAGATATAAACGAGCCATTAGAAGAACCACCTATTCATGACACAGCTGCTTGGGCGTCCTTAGAAAAAAGAAGATTTGAGGGCAGAGTACAAATATGGGAGAAAGAGTTACACCAATTAATTCCTCATCAATAAAGTTAAAGTGGATCCATCAATTGCTAATAGTATCCCAGTCATACCAACTGGAGACCATGTGGCAACAAGGAATAATCCAATCCCCCTCCGTCTTCCAGATCGTGACAACTGGTTCCAAGAGTTATGGGAGACTTGCAGCTTTCGAGTAAGGGAACACTGTCTTTTTCTCAAAATTAATAGTCATCGTTGACTGCTGTGGATGAAGGAGATGATCAAAAGGAAATGATTGCTTTCCAAGGCGATGATGATCTTCCAAATGAAAGTAAGAAACCTATAAAAAAAGTTGAAATTGAAGGTCAACAAAAAGTAGATGCAGAGGTAATGTGTATGATTTAGTTACATGTAATTATCAATGATTGGTATAATCCCATTAATAGAAGTCAGCACAAGACATGCCACCTTCTAAGGCAAAAGTGGGCTCAAAATGTGATGTAAATAAAGTTAAAATTTGGTGTATATAGGTTTAAAACTTATTATTTATTTACACCAGGTACCAAAAGAAAAACCAATCCCTGAATCCTTAAGTGAAAAAGAATACAAGCAGGTATATATTATATTAGTGTAGTGCAAAAAGATGTTTAATATTCATAATTAGGATGAATCATCTAGTATGTCACCTGTACATGATTCAAGAGCAAGGCTTAAGGTAAT